CTAGGGCAGCTGTCTGCTCCCCACCTCCGTCAATACTAGCTCATTCACAGCTTGTAACTGTTAAGACCCAGGGTTAGACAGATAAGATGTGCCTATTCTGCGCAGTTGTAAGGTCTCACCCCAACCACAGTTGACCCCATAAGGTGAGCTGCCCCCTACCTAGCTGCGCTAGGTAACCATCCCTGCTAGCTCCTCCTGCTCTTCTAGCTGTTCTGGCTAACCACAGCAGTTATGCTGTCAGGTCCCGTCCCCCAGCTATCCTCTCTCTTTACCAAGAGTCCATCTGGCATACTGGGCCACACATAGCTCTTAATAGTCAAGCAAACTTTTTAAACAGATTCTCCTCTCCTAGCCTTGCCATCTTGTGCTTTTGCACCTCACAACTGCAACTCATTTCCTCCCCTTTATAGCACACCTACCTTTTCAATAAGAACACCCCAGATACGGTAAAACATGAAATACCAAGCAAGCGTATTTTAGACTTGCCCATTGGTTCTTTTCATTCATTGCCCCTTCTCTTTCCTAGCTGTCAGCAAAGCACTCTGCTGTATTCAGGATTGCACCCCTCTGAAGTTCTGGGGAAAGTAGCTGCTCGTCTCTTCTAGGCAGCATGGTGATACTTGGAGTGAAATGGAAGCTCACACAAATGAATTGGCTGCAGCTTTTTCACACATCCCCCTTTATCAGTTCCTGCAATTATTTGCAAGAAAGGGCATCAGTCCCCAATATTCCACCCCTCTGCTCTGTACCGTTTGCTTCTTTCGCTTTTACTGTGAAGACTATCATTGCAGTTTGATTCCCCCCCTGCTTCCTTCAGCAGCTTGAGTTTAGTCTCAGACTGCAGCTACTTGAGAGACTCTATCTCTTGACTCAGTGTAAAGAAGGGCTTGTTCCTGTTCTAAAGAGCAACATCGTGACCTGCAAAAATCTCTTCAATTTGGAGGGACCCATGGTAGACCGGAATCATAGTCAAATAAGCTCAGAGGATGAGATGACACTGTAGTAAGATAGCTCTTACCCATATTAAGTATTAGTATTGCAAAGGTCTATCCTGTGCAGCCCAGTAAGTAGCCTCTGAAGTTAAATCTTACTTTTATGCAGGTTCTCAGGGAGACAAAGAGAAAAAGCACTGAACATTATCAAACAAAATAGTCTTGTAACTCAGCAGAACAAGCAGTATGTAGATTTAATTAACTCCTTGGCACTGTCAGTTGTGGCATATCCTGTTGTCGTCCACGGGCAGCACACCAAGAAAGCCTGGCTGCTTGGCATCTAGAGGGCTACAGATGGCTGGTAAAACTTCTGTCTGTTCTTGTTTACAGCCAATTTCTGGAGTGCAACAACAAGTGGCGAGACAAGCAAAGGCTTTCCTTTCCCTGGGAAAGATGGCAGAAGTGCAGGTCAGCAGACGGAAATCCAGTGCAGAGAAGTCATGGCTGTGGTTTGCTACAGTGAAGTCTCTGATTGGGAAAGGGGTGATGCTCGCTGTCAATCAAGGCAAAGTGCAAACAAACGTGCTCAACATTGCAAATGAGGACTGCATAAAAGTGGCAGCTGTTCTGAACAATGCCTACTACCTAGAAAACTTGCATTTCACCGTTGAGGGAAAGGACACGCACTATTTTATCAAGACCACCTCCCCCGAGAGTGACCTTGGGACACTGAGGCTGACAAGTGGGCGGAAGGCCCTGGAGAACGGCATCAATGTCACTGTTTCACAGTCCACCACTGTGGTAAATGGCAGGACTCGTAGGTTTGCTGATGTTGAAATGCAATACGGTGCGTTAGCGCTTCATGTCCGCTATGGCATGACACTTGACGAGGAAAAGGCCCGAATACTGGAGCAAGCCAGGCAAAGAGCTCTTTCCAGTGCCTGGGCCAGAGAACAACAGAGAGTAAGAGATGGAGAGGAAGGCGCCAGGTTGTGGACAGAAGGAGAAAAGAGGCAGTTGCTAAGTGCTGGAAAGGTACAAGGATACGATGGGTACTATGTACTCTCTGTGGAGCAATATCCAGAATTAGCAGACAGTGCTAACAATATACAGTTCCTTAGACAAAGTGAGATAGGAAAGAGGTAACACACTGGCTTAGCTCAGGCTGCCAAAGAGACTGTGTACCAGTGTCTTCTAAAAAGGAGACCAAACTGTTTTGCTGCATTACTACTTGAGCCTAAGCTTACATCTTTGCTCAGATTTTTTCTGTAGCACAATCCGAACAGACTCTGTAACGAAAAGAGCGCCTTCCAGAAGAATGATACTGCTAATGACAATTTTTTTTTTTTTCTCAATGACCTTAAAGGTGATCTGCTTTAAAGAATATGTTTACATATGCATATCGCTGCACTCAAGTTGGACTGAAAAGTATTAAAAAAAAAAAAAGAAGAAAAGAAAAGAAAAAGGCCTACAGATTTTGCAACAGGCTGTCTGTTCCTTTGAGGCACTGTATTTAATTAAGATGCAGACCCATACAGTGTTTCCAAATATTACTGAATTGTTGACCTTTGCTTACCAGAAGTAGTCTCTCTCTTTCTCTCTCTCTCTCTCTCTCTCTCACTGCATAGTATGTGGCATATATCTGTTAATTTTAAAACGTGGGGCAAAAATTACTGTTTATAGACAACCCAACTGCTTTAAACTGTGCTGCTTTCTAAAAGGACATTGGCACAAGTGACTTATGCTACCAAGGGAATTTAATACTGGATTTTACAATGCTAACATGGTTTGCCTTGGGGGGGAAATGGCAAGTAGAATCCTTGTTGCAAATAAGCAAAGGAAACCCTGATTTTTTTGTAAATTATGTGAGACAAGTTGTTTATGGATTTTTATATGAATTACAATTTACTGTACATCAAATATTAGTCTCAGAGGAGTTAATTTATGTAAAGTGTTTAAAAAAGTTTATACTTAAAAATAAAATGATAAAAACATGTGCTGTGTGTGATTTTTTTAAAGAAAAAGGAATTGCACCTTTTATGTTATAGCTGTACAGTATAAAGGATTATATTGTAGAGATATAACAGTGATGACTAATGTCCAAAAGTGTTAATATTTTTGTATTAGGTTTAAAGCTGTGCATCTATCACTCTGCTGATAGGATGGGACACTCCAAAGCGGCTGGCTGAATCAAACTGCAGCTCCCTCCCCTCCCGTACCTCTCCTGTCACCGAGGCCAGTGCCACTTCATCAGTCATTGTTAGAAGGCACAGTAACCAAATAAGTCTCGTTTATTATGATGGAAGACTTTAATAGGTTGGGTTTTCCTTGTCTTTTTCCAGCCCTAATGTAATAAATGGACATTTATTCATACCAGGTGGGGTTTCTGTTGTTTTTTTAGCAGCTTTGTTTCACAATGGAGAGAGTAGTGTCTCAGGTGCTTGGCAAATTGTATGTAGAAGAAGAAGAAATGATGTAGTTTCATCCAGTTATGTCAACTTTGTCTTCTGTATAATACAGCTCTTTTAGATGTTATAACTCCAGATAGAAGAAGCGTACCTCTGACCTGATGCTACAGAATTGCTCTTTAGGCAGGCAGGCTCTTCAGTAGCTTCATCTCCTGGCCTTCAGCTGGCAGATCAAATCCCATTACTGTGAACACTGAACCTGGGGATGGAGACGAAAGTCCAATTCTACTGCCTAGTCTGCATCTCCACACCACTGCATAGATTTGGCATGCTCTGCTCCAAGGCCCAGTATATTTGCTGCAGGACAGGACTGAAGTGTGCAGCTGGTTCCTTACAGGAAGCCTGTGGTGGCATCTATGGCATCTGTTCTACATCTTGGCTGAAACCATTCTTAGGGCTTTACTCTCACGAGCACTAAATTCAGCCACAAAATAAATATTTTTAAGATGAGACAAAATTGGGGGTTTTTGATGTTCATTGAAATATACATAGTATTTCTATCCATGTATTATAATGACAAAACATAGTAAGTGAACGTGTCTTAACTATGAATGGTTCAAGTGGATGTAATAAAAATAGTTTTCTAACTGCTTTGTATTCTGAGAGTCTATGGTATTACATACTCTAAATTGCACATTAGGATTGTTTGATAAACAGATTTGAATTTCTCCCAGCCAAGTTGCTACCGAATCTGCAGTATCAGTGCTATTACTGTATGTGTGTATTTGGTAGAGGATACAGAACTAATTACACATATAATGAATGCTAATCATCTATTAGAATGAAAGCACAGATTAGTTGTTAGTATTTTTACCCTTGAAGTCTTGAGGACCCTAAATTTAGAGAGGATGATATGTCAGACCCCAGAGGCGTGTCATTGATCTACGTATTCTTTTTAAAGATGTAAAATGCTAGGTGTTTGCAGTTCTGTTGGGTGGCTCTTCCACAGCACTGTATTTAGCATGCTGTAAGTGCTCTCTGTTGAAATAGGCTCATATTCTAAATTATGTCAAATGTTTCTGTTCTGTTTGAATATGAAAAGCTTGTATAACATGTCAAAAATGAAATATATCTTCTACTTGACGCGTACCAGTTCCTTCTCCTTTGTTCTGGCACCAATAAACAACAAATTCTAGTATCTGTTGGTGATCATTTTAGATAAAGTCAAATCAAGCCAATTAGTGGCCTTGTTAGTAGGTATAATGAGCCTATTTCTTGCTAAAAAAGACTTGTGATCTGGACATGCTCCTGCAGGAAATAGTGACCTTGGGGAATACATAAACAAAAGATCTTTTTAAAGAAAAAATATGTATAATTAAAAGAAGCATATTACAAAAAAAAGGAAAGGAGATTCTAAGTATTTTAGGCAATGCCAGTCAAAATGCTATCCTGATATTTTGAGATGTATATTTCGTCTGATTTGTATTGTTCTTTTAATTTGCCTTCTTAACTTTATATGTGTCCTGAATTTTCCACAAATTGATAACTATAGATTGCATCTAGGCTTTCCAATAAAAGCCAACCCAATGTGTGTGTGTGTGTTTATATTTGTTTTTTAAATCTGCATGTCAGATATTGCATCTGTGCTATTGCTTTTCTTGTCATATCGGAAGAAGCAAACTGATCCAGTTGCACTGGTATTGATTCATTTGCTTCACAGTTGGCAGTATCTTTTTTGACTCTGTCCAGTGGCCTCATCTGCTAACTCAGCAAAGTGAACTACTCCATGGGATCTCTCAGGTGGCCTACTTTAGAGAAAACATTAAATATACCTCACAAAGCCAAATCTTGTACAGATAAGGAAAAGCCAAAGAATAAAAAAAAAAAATCACTTAGAACTGTTTTCTTTCATGTCCTCCTGAGTAAAAATACGACAAAAAGTATTTGATGATAAATAATTAGGTTGGCACTGGTAGTTACATATATACACAGAAGAGATCCTTCAATCTGCATTTAGACCCACTTTGCAGAAACTGCTGACTTCAGCACTGCTATATATGTCAAGAGACTGCTTTGATTTTAGTTGGAACAGGCAGACTTCACCACACTTACTTTGTAGTGACAACCTCGAGTTGATAACATGTTGATCCAGCATGAATGGGGTCACTCTGCTTAGCTAACTGTGGCCTAATTTTGTTATTTTTTTAAAAAAAAAAAAAAAGCCAGTAAGAGAGCTTTGTATGTTCACACTTGGGAGGTGAGAGATTTGCATCTGACAAGGGAAAAAAAAAATGCCCATTACCACTGCTACTCTTCAGAGGCACTTCTAAAGTGATGGCTGAAAGATTGTAAAAGAAAAAACACTGCATAAAATAACAGTTTAAAATTATTGTCTATGAGAGAAAAGGCTGCATTCGCAGAGAATCTGAGATGACAAAATGTTTGAATTCTGTTTTCAGAAAAAAAAGAAAAATCTTCTACAAGTGTTAATACCTTGGTTTACTGCTAACTCCAGAATGGCAAGCTGCAGTTATACAGATAGCCAGCTTGAGAACCTTTAAGAAAAAGAGGAAGAGACTAGTATGTAATTCTTTGGGGGTTTCTTTGCAAAGCAAAGACACTTACTAGAAGCAGCTTCTAAGCAGCTTATTAGAAGCTGCTTATTTGACACTTATTAGAAGCTGCCAGGGTTAAAAATAAGCCAAAGCAGAGAGTATCAAAGCATAAACTGAACAGCACCGGCACAGGAAATCGTACCCCTAACTGCAAAGCCACATCCAAACTGACCAGCTGATCAAGTTCTCATCTACAGCCACTTAGTGCTAAGGACTAAACATGCAATGCTTATAAAATTAAATTGATCTTCGACTGCACACACAAGTGGCTGGGGCTCAGTGAGCCAAAAAAAAAAAGCCAAAATGAAAACCAGTTAATTGATGGGTAGGTGCCAATCTTTTCCTCCTGGGAAAAAAGGAACACATGGTCTATAGCTGTCATGCTGACCGACAGAGCTTAAGACTTTAATTTTTCCTCTGAAGTTTTTAGCTTTGTGGCAGTGACCATATGAGGCAAATTTAACTGTGTGAGTGCCTACGCTAGACATATAAAAAAAGTCAAAACACTAATAATAGATAAAGCCCCGCTCTTAAAAAGCCATTTTTCAACAGGAGTAACATAAGTAAGGATGCCAGCGCTTAATTAAGTGCGCCACCAAAATCTGAAAAAATGCAGCTTGTCTGTTCATCCATCCCAGAAACCTGAGTATTTGTTGCAGATCACTAAAAAATGTCTTAGGCTTTTCAGGGTGAAAAGATGGTGGAAAGGTTTATTTCTCGTGCCGCCTCCTAATCACAAGATATAATACCGGCTATTGCAATTAGTACTGTGAGGGTGACAGAGGAACAAGAACATGCTGTCGGATGCTCGGGCACAGTCTGCCCTGCTTTAGTACAGGGATGTGCTGGGGATGGCAGGGGGAGGGAGAGGGAAAGGGAGGTGGCCTCTCATTAAGTGGTCTAAAATGCAACAATGAGAGTGAAGTCACGTAGTATCGCACAAATACTGGCATGAGGATTATCTTAACTACACTATTCTTTGTACATATGCCTTAAAAAAAAAAAATCAGAAAAAAAAATATCCTGGTTATTCTAGCATCGCAAATGCATGCAATTCTAAGCTGTGCAAGGATGGCATAAAATGCATCCCTAAATAAAGATAAGTATGCTAAATATTGTTCCCCACTTCTAAACAAAGCAAGCTAAACAGCAACACCATCCCTTTCTTTAAGTACATGCAATTTAGAGGGTGAAGAACAAGCATAATAACATGGCAGCTCATTAGAGTGTCATGTTTTCACAGAACCTATTTTATTGCATTTAGTAGTTCTGCAGGTAAACTCTCTTGCTGTTAATTACTATAACCTCCTAGGTAAATTGAGTAATCCTTTTAATTTACTAAGTTAAAATTCTGTCATTGAGGAATATAAATTTCTAGAGACGCATGCATTTTTTTTCCTACTATAAACTAAAAGTAGTTTCAAATCTCATAGTAACGTAATTATGCAGCTTAGAGTTAATGGTTTCCACAAAGCTGTGTTAATAAAGCCTTTTGGGATTCAGGAGGAAAAGGAGGAAATTCAGAAACTAAGAACAGGGCTGAAGGCGACAACATGTTTCAACTGGATCTAGTTACTCCATCACACTTAAGCTGTCTGAGACAGCAGGGAGAGCGCCATGCATTACAGAGGCATGCAGGAAATTGTTATCCCAATGCAATGAAGTATTTCCACATTCCAAGCCCAGGAATCATTTCAAAACTGAAATTACAGGAATGGCTATCTAATGAACCAATTAACCTTACATCAATCAAAAAAAAAAAACAACAACCAGTATAGGGAAAGCTAATGGAGGAATCAGTTAAGAATTCAAATATGAGAGTAACTATAGGCATGCGATGCTGTAGAAAAGTCCATCCAGTGTTTGCTGACAAGAACCACTGGGGAAAAAATGGGATGGGGGGGGTGGGGAGTGTACAAGACCATAATACTAGGACCAGGTGCTAGTCTCCATTTTCCACAATGATGGGGA